TCAGAAAGGAGGAAACCCAGTCTTTGGTCACGTCCATGGGTTCCAGACTGCAGACAAAGCATCAGAAAGGAGGAAACCCAGTCTTTGGTCATGTCCATGGGTTCCAGACTTCAGGCAAAGCATCAGAAAGGAGGAAACCCAGTCGTTGGTCATGTCCATGGGTTCCAGACTTCAGGCAGTCATTGCCAGTAAAGGATTCTCAACAAAATATTACAAATGAACATTTTATTTATGATTATATTCAATTGTCCAATTACTTTTGGTCCCTTGAAAAAGGGGGGGGTTGCTCTTAAGAGCTGTAATTCCTAAACCCTTCCTCCAATCTGGATGTACATACCCTCAAATTACACCTGAGAGTGTGTACTGTCCGCCCATTTCCAATATAGAACTGGAGCTTGAATGGGTTTTGGTTAATACCTGCAAAAAACTAAACTTGTGCCTGTGTCCAAATATATGTGGACCAAACTGTATGTAAAGGATATGTTCACCTTTTGTAACATGTTACACGTTGCGCCCATATTCAGGGTGTAACATCACTAAAATTCCCATCATTTATTATTTGGTGGTGCAACACATTTATTTTGGCGATATTTTTTGTATTATTGTGTGCAAATGTAGTGGGTGGTGCTCTCATTTGTCGTTATAAAATTTCCACGCAGGACACTCCCCCCCCTTTTTTTTTAAACATGTAACATGTTACTGTTGGAGCAACCTCCGCCCCCCCCCCCCCAATCCACCAGGAGCAGGGGATCCTCTCCCCGTACCCGCTGTCACAATTTTAACAAAAAATGTGGGCGTATGGGGCTCCACCCACCTAGTGATGTAAGTCATTCACAGAGTTCTGTGAAGTGGAGAACTACATGTCCCGATGTGGCTGTTGGCTTGTGGTTCTCATTGAAGTACCATGGTGCTGACGAGTGATCTAGGTGGTTCATTGATGCTTCCCGTCATCCTGTAATTGCCTGCCTGTGTGAGGGACAAGCAGACCGCTTACACTGACAGTCTGCAGAGCCTCAAATTGTACCTGCGACCTGCTGATTGTGAGTGCATTGCTCTGCAGGCTCCTAGTAAAAAAATAAAATAAATAAATGCACATTTGTTTTACGTGTGCAAAAAGATGTGCAATTTTTGTTTACAAAGGTGAACTTATCCTTTTAAAGGGTATGTCCACCGCCAATGGTGAGACTTCCTTGAAGTAACTGTTGTGTCTGCTCCTCCCACAATGGGGAGATTCCCCCCCAGTAGTTTGTGTCTCTGCTCCTCCCACAATGGGGAGATTTCCCCCCACTAGTTTGTGTCTCTGCTCCTCCCACAAATGGGGAGATTCCCCCCAGAAGTTTGTGCCTCTGCCCCTCCCACAATGGGGAGATTTCCCTGCAGTAGTTTGTGTCTCTGCTCCTCCCACAATGGGGAGATTTCCCCCCACTAGTTTGTGTCTCTGCTCCTCCCACAATGGGGAGATTCGCCCCAGTAGTTTGTGCCTCTGCCCCTCCCACAATGGGGAGATTTCCCTGCAGTAGTTTGTGTCTCTGCTCCTCCCACAATGGGGAGATTTCCCCCCACTAGTTTGTGTCTCTGCCCCTCCCACAATGGGGAGCTTCCCCCCAGTAGTTTGTGCCTCTGCCCCTCCCACAATGCGGAGATTTCCAGCAGTAGTTTGTGTCTCTGCCCCTCCCACAGTGGGGAGATTTCCCTGCAGTAGTTTGTGTCTCTGCCCCTCGCACAATGGGGAGAATCCGCCCAGTAGTTTGTGTCTCTACCCCTCCCACAATGGGGAGCTTCCCCACAGCAGTTTGGGTCTATGCCCTCCCAAAATGGGGAGATTCCCTCAGTAGTTTGTGTCTCTGCCCCTCCCACAATGGGGAGAATCCCCCCAGTAGTTTGTGTCTCTGCCCCTCCCACAGTGGGGAGATTTCCCTGCAGTAGTTTGTGTCTCTGCACCTTCCACAATGGGGAGATTCCCCCCCAGTAGTTTGTCTCTGCCCCTCCCACAATGGGGAGAATCCGCCCAGTAGTTTGTGTCTCTGCCCCTCCCACAATGGGGAGATTCCCCCCAGTAGTTTGTGTCTCTGCCCCTCCCACAATGGGGAGAATCCCCCCAGTAGTTTGTGTCTCTGCCCCTCCCACAATGGGGAAATTTCCCCCAGTAGTTTGTGTCTCTGCCCCTCCCACAATGGGGAGATACCCCTCAGTAGTTTTTGTCTCTGCCCCTCCCACAATGAAGAGATTTCCCCCCAGTAGTTTGTGTCTCTGTCCCTCCCACAATGGGGAGATTTCCCCCCTGTAGTTTGTGTCTCTGCCCCTCCCACAATGGGGAGATTTCCCCCCTGTAGTTTGGGTCTATGCCCTCCCACAATGGGGAGATTCCCCCCAGTAGTTTGTGCCTCTGCCCCTCCCACAATGGGGAGATTTCCCTGCAGTAGTTTGTGTCTCTGCTCCTCCCACAATGGGGAGATTTCCCCCCACTAGTTTGTGTCTCTGCCCCTCCCACAATGGGGAGCTTCCCCCCAGTAGTTTGTGCCTCTGCCCCTCCCACAATGGGGAGATTTCCCGGCAGTAGTTTGGGTCTCTGTCCCTCCCACAATGGGGAGATTTCCAGCAGTAGTTTGTGTCTCTGCCCCTCCCACAGTGGGGAGATTTCCCTGCAGTAGTTTGTGTCTCTGCCCCTCCCACAATGGGGAGAATCCGCCCAGTAGTTTGTGTCTCTGCCCCTCCCACAATGGGGAGCTTCCCCACAGCAGTTTGGGTCTATGCCCTCCCACAATGGGGAGATTCCCCCAGTAGTTTGTGTCTCTGCCCCTCCCACAATGGGGAGAATCCCCCCAGTAGTTTGTGTCTCTGCCCCTCCCACAGTGGGGAGATTTCCCTGCAGTAGTTTGTGTCTCTGCACCTCCCACAATGGGGAGATTCCCCCCAGTAGTTTGTCTCTGCCCCTCCCACAATGGGGAGAATCCGCCCAGTAGTTTGTGTCTCTGCCCCTCCCACAATGGGGAGATTCCCCCCAGTAGTTTGTGTCTCTGCCCCTCCCACAATGGGGAGAATCCCCCCAGTAGTTTGTGTCTCTGCCCCTCCCACAATGGGGAAATTTCCCCCAGTAGTTTGTGTCTCTGCCCCTCCCACAATGGGGAGATACCCCTCAGTAGTTTTTGTCTCTGCCCCTCCCACAATGAAGAGATTTCCCCGCAGTAGTTTGCATCTCTGCAACTCCCACAATGGGGAGATTCCCCCCAGTAGTTTGTGTCTCTGTCCCTCCCACAATGGGGAGATTTCCCCCCTGTAGTTTGTGTCTCTGCCCCTCCCACAATGGGGAGATTTCCCCCAGTAGTTTGTGTCTCTGCCCCTCCCACAATGATGAGACTTCCCCCAGTAGTTTGTGTCTCTGCCCCTCCCACAATGGGGAGATTTCCCCCCTGTAGTTTGTGTTTATGCTCCTCCCACAATGGTGAGATTTCCCCCCACTAGTTTGTGTCTCTGCTCCTCCCACAATGGGGAGATTCCCCCCAGTAGTTTGTGCCTCTGCCCCTCCCACAATGGGGAGATTTCCCTGCAGTAGTTTGTGTCTCTGCTCCTCCCACAATGGGGAGATTTCCCCCCACTAGTTTGTGTCTCTGCCCCTCCCACAATGGGGAGATTTCCCCCCACTAGTTTGTGTCTCTGCCCCTCCCACAATGGGGAGATTTCCAGCAGTAGTTTGTGTCTCTGCCCCTCCCACAGTGGGGAGATTTCCCCCCAGTAGTTTGTGTCTCTGCCCCTCCCACAGTGGGGAGATTTCCCTGCAGTAGTTTGTGTCTCTGCACCTCCCACAATGGGGAGCTTCCCCACAGCAGTTTGGGTCTATGCCCACCCACAATGGGGAGAATCCCCCCAGTAGTTTGTGTCTCTGCTCCCCTCCCACAGTGGGGAGATTTCCCTGCAGTAGTTTGTGTCTCTGCACCGCCCACAATGGGGAGATTCCCCCCAGTAGTTTGTCTCTGCCCCTCCCACAATGGGGAGAATCCGCCCAGTAGTTTGTGTCTCTGCCCCTCCCACAATGGGGAGATTCCCCCCAGTAGTTTGTGTCTCTGCCCCTCCCACAATGGGGAGAATCCCCCCAGTAGTTTGTGTCTCTGCCCTTCCCACAATGGGGAGATTACCCCTCAGTAGTTTGTGTCTCTGCCCCTCCCACAATGAGGAGATTTCCCCGCAGTAGTTTGCATCTCTGCCCCTCCCACAATGGGGAGATTCCCCCCAGTAGTTTGTGTCTCTGTCCCTCCCACAATGGGGAGATTTCCCCCCACTAGTTTGTGTCTCTGCCCCTCCCACAATGGGGAGATTTCCCCCAGTAGTATGTGTCTCTGCCCCTCCCACAATGAGGAGATTACCCCGCAGTAGTTTGCATCTCTGCCCCTCCCACAATGGGGAGATTTCCACCCTGTAGTTTGTGTGTCTGCCCCTCCCACAATGATGAGATTTCCCCCAGTAGTTTGTGTCTCTGCCCCTCCCACAATGGGGAGATTTCCCCCCTGTAGTTTGTGTTTATGCTCCTCCCACAATGGTGTGAGACTCCCCCCAGTAGTTTGTGTCTCTGCCCCTCCCACAATGGGGAGATTCCCCCCAGTAGTTTGTGTCTCTGCCCCTCCCACAATGGGGAGAATCCCCCCAGTAGTTTGTGTCTCTGCCCCTCCCACAATGGGGAGATTCCCCCCCCCCCAGTAGTTTTTGTGTCTCTGCCCCTCCCACAATGGGGAGTATTTTGTGTCTCTGCCCCTCCCACAATGGGGAGATTCCCCCCAGTAGTAGTTTGTGTCTCTGCCCCTCCCACAATGGGGAGATTCCCCCCAGTAGTTTGTGTCTCTGCCCCTCCCACAATGGGGAGAATCCCCCCAGTAGTTTGTGACTCTGCCCCTCCCACAATGGGGAGATTCCCCCCAGTAGTTTGTGTCTCTGCCCCTCCCACAATGGGAAGAATCCCCCCAGTAGTTTGTGTCTCTGCCCCTCCCACAATGGGGAGAATCCCCCCAGTAGTTTGTGTCTCTGCCCCTCCCACAATGGGGAGATTCCCCCCAGTAGTTTGTGTCTCTGCCCCTCCCACAGTGGGGAGATTTCCCCCCAGTAGTTTGTGTCTCTGCCCCTCCCACAGTGGGGAGATTTCCCTGCAGTAGTTTGTGTCTCTGCCCCTCCCACAGTGGGGAGATTTCCCCCCAGTAGTTTGTGTCTTTGCCCCTCCCACAGTGGGGAGATTTCCTTGCAGTAGTTTGTGTCTCTGCCCCTCCCACAATGGGGAGAATTCGCCCAGTAGTTTGTGTCTCTGCCCCCCTCCCACAATGGGGAGCGCCCCACAGCAGTTTGGGTCTATGCCCTCCCACAATGGGGAGATTCCCCCCAGTAGTTTGTGTCTCTGCCCCTCCCACAGTGGGGATTCCCCCCAGTAGTTTGTGTCTCTCTGTGTCTCTGCCCCCCCATTTCCCCCCAGTAGTTTGTGTCTCTGCACCTCCCACAATGGGGAGATTCCCCCCCAGTAGTTTGTGTCTCTGCCCCTCCCACAATGGGGAGAATCCGCCCAGTAGTTTGTGTCTCTGCCCCTCCCACAATGGGGAGATTCTCCCCAGTAGTTTGTGTCTCTGCCCCTCCCACAATGGGGAGAATCCCCCCAGTAGTTTGTGTCTCTGCCCCTCCCACAATGGGGAGATTCCCCTCAGTAGTTTGTGTCTCTGCCCCTCCCACAATGGGGAGATTTCCCCAGTAGTTTGTGTCTCTGCCCCTCCCACAATGGGGAGATTCTCCCCAGTAGTTTGTGTCTCTGCCCCTCCCACAATGGGGAGATTCCCCCCAGTAGTTTGCATCTCTGCCCCTCCCACAATGGGGAGATTTCCACCCTGTAGTTTGTGTCTCTGCCCCTCCCACAATGATGAGAATTCCCCCAGTAGTTTGTGTCTCTGCCCCTCCCACAATGGGGAGATTTCCCCCCAGTAGTTTGTGTTTATGCTCCTCCCACAATGGGGAGAATCCCCCCAGTAGTTTGTGACTCTGCCCCTCCCACAATGGGGAGATTCCCCCCAGTAGTTTGTGTCTCTGCCCCTCCCACAATGGGAAGATTCCCCCCCATAGTTTGTGCCTATGCCCCTCCCACAATGGGGAGAATCCCCCCAGTAGTTTGTGTCTCTGCCCCTCCCACAATGGGGAGATTTCCCTCCAGTAGTTTGTGTCTCTGCCCCTCCCACAATGGGGATAATCCCCCAGTAGTTTGTGTCTCTGCCCCCATCTCAGGGGTCCTCAGTCCTGATGCAAGCAGTGGGCTAACTCTTGGGAGGAGTTATGCAAATATAATACATTAATGGATACAGGTCAGTCTGGAGAAGTGGGCGTTCCTAGGCAGGCTGTATTTGCATGAAGACCTTTCTAGGTAACACCCACATGCGATCCTGTGAAATCCAATGAATGAAAGGGGCGTGACCAAGGACAGTCAGGCTGGAGAGGAAAGGACTAGATGACGCTGGATGTCCTCCAGCCACGCAGGCTCTATCTTTTGGTGTTCGTGGATCGATTTGCTCACCATAAGTACAATTGTTCCATTAGGCTGATATATGATGTAGGATTTACCTCTATGTGGTGTAATGAGTGATGCTCGGTATCTCCCCCTACAGGCCTCTGACAGAACACAGCTTTCCACTGCAGTACAGGGAATTCTGGGATCTCTGCTCTCCTGCGGACTCCTGTTGTCTCTCTTCTTCATCATTTTCACCATTCGCTTCCGGCAGAACAGGTATTGGCTGTTGGGTAGGCTAAACCCTATAGAGAGGAGCACAGCATGACACCAAGTGACACCATGTGAGGTCCTGAGGTCACCCAGGAAAGGGACTGTCACATCCATCCCTATCATCCAGAACTGCAAATCTATAAAGCCCATCCAAAGACACAGAAGACCTTGTACTACTTTCTTCTTATAGCAGATGTGACGGGGTCCTAAAAACATGACTCTGCAGTCCCGCAGGCACCAGGGTTAAGCACGATGCAAAAAACAAATTAAAATTTCAAATAGTTTGTTTTCTGCATCAATGGTGCTTCGTGCCAGCTGCGACATGCGATTTTCCTGCCGCAATCGAAAGTGCCTGATCCAACACGATGGATTTTTATTAGAAAAGCAAAATAATTGATGGCACAACCTGATGAGCTATTTTTCGACTCATCTATGGCCTTGCCCTAGACATAGCACACTCAATAATCAGCACTCAGTAAGACACAGTATATTACTCACTTCAGCCCCCCCATCCATCATGGCTTTGTATACTTTACTGTATATATATATTATTGACACTAACACTGACAATACTCACTGTCTTCACCTTTGTGTCAGGATAGTGAAGATGTCCAGCCCTAACCTGAACCTGGTCATCCTGCTGGGAAGTCTTCTCGTGTACATCAGTGCCTTCATGTTTGCTCTCCAGGAATCTGTCTCCTCCATACAGACTGTTATACAGGTGAGTGACAGCCAAGGATATACCTTCTACACACAATGTCTGTGAAGGACGAGGAGGGTACCTTCTACACACAATGCCTGTGAAGGACAAGGAGGTACCTTCTACACACAATGTCTGTGAGAGACGAGGAGGTACCTTCTACACACAATGTCTGTGAGAGACGAGGAGGTACCTTCTACACACAATGTCTGTGAGAGACGAGGAGGTACCTTCTACACACAATGTCTGTGAAGGGCAAGGATGTACCTTCTACGCACAATGTCTGTGAAGGACAAGGAGGTAACTTCTACACACAATGTCTGTGAAGGACGAGGAGGTAACTTCTACACACAATGTCTGTGAAGGACGAGGAGGTACCTTCTACACACAAGGTCTGTGAGAGACGAGGAGGTACCTTCTACACACAAGGTCTGTGAAGGACGAGGAGGTACCTTCTACACACAATGTCTGTGAAGGACGAGGAGGTACCTTCTACACACAAGGTTTGTGAAGGACAAAGAGGTACCTTCTACGCACAAATGTCTGTGAGATTGTGAGAGACGAGGAGGTACCTTCTACACACAATGTCTGTGAAGGACGAGGAGGTACCTTCTACACACAATGTCTGTGAAGGACAAGGAGGTTCCTTCTACATACAATGTCTGTGAGAGACAAAGAGGTACCTTCTACACACAAGGTCTGTGAAGGACAAGGAGGTACCTTCTACGCACAATGTCTGTGAGAGACGAGGAGGTACCTTCTACACACAAGGTCTGTGAAGGACGAGGAGGTACCTTCTACGCACAATGTCTGTGAGATTGTGAGAGACGAGGAGGTACCTTCTACACACAATGTCTGTGAAGGACAAGGAGGTACCTTCTACACACAATGTCTGTGAAGGACAAGGAGGTACCTTCTACACACAATGTCTGTGAATGACGAGGAGGTACCTTCTACACACAATGTCTGTGAAGGACAAGGAGGTACCTTCTACGCACAAAGTCTGTGAGAGACGAGGAGGTACCTTCTACACACAAGGTCTGTGAAGGACGAGGAGGTACCTTCTACACACAATGTTTGTGAAGGACAAGGAGGTACCTCTACAACAACAATGTCTGTGAAGGACAAGGAGTGTACCTTCTACACACATTGTCTGTGAGAGTGTGAGAGACGAGGAGGTACCTTCTACACACAATGTCTGTGAAGGACAAGGAGGAACCTTCTACACACAATGTCTGTGAGAGTGTGAGAGGACGAGGAGGTACCTTCTACACACAAGGTCTGTGAAGGACGAGGAGGTACCTTCTAAGCACAATGTCTGTGAGAGACGAGGAGGTACCTTCTACGCACAATGTCTGTGAAGGACGAGGAGGTACCTTCTAAGCACAATGTCTGTGAAGGACGAGGAGGTACCTTCTAAACACAATGTCTGTGAAGGACGAGGAGGTACCTTCTAAACACAATGTCTGTGAAGGACGAGGAGGTACCTTCTAAACACAATGTCTGTGAGAGACGAGGAGGTACCTTCTGCACACAATGTCTGTGAGAGTGTGAGGGACGAGGAGGAGGTTACCTTCTACGCACAATGTCTGTGAGAGAGACGAGGAGGTACCTTCTACACACAAGGTCTGTGAGAGTGTGTGAGAGACGAGAAGGTACCTTCTACACACAATGTCTGTGAAGGACGAGGAGGGTACCTTCTACACAAAAGGTCTGTGAAGGCCGAGGAGGTACCTTCTTACGCACAATGTCTGTGAGAGACGAGGAGGTACCTTTCTACACACAATGTCTGTGAGAGACGAGGAGGTACTTTCTACACACAAGGTCTGTGAAAGACACAAAAGTATCTTCTAGGCACAATGTTCGAAAGACGCGAGGCTGTACTTTCTACACACATTGTCTGTGACAGATGAGGACATGTCTTCTACACACAATGTCTGTGACAGATGAGGAGGTACCTTCTATGCACAATGTCTGTGACAGATGAGGAGGTACCTTCTATGCACAATGTCTGTGACAGATGAGGAGGTACCTTCTATAAATGAATAAATAAAAGTGCAGCGCTAGATATGAATGGTAGATAAAAAATGATGATAAATTGTCCCATAAATATTATAAATGCATAATTAAGCAGTTCATAAAATAGGTAACGGATAATCCACTTGATGTAGTTGTATATCAAGGAAAGTTGTCACAGGTACAAGTGATAAAAATGCGCACTCACCGGACGCGCTAAAATCAAGCACCTGTAATCAACATCCACTCAGATCACTCAGGAAGTCAGGGAAGGTGAGCATCCATCTAAGTAATCCTGGTAATCCTGTCTTGGTAGTATGTAGTAAAGACTTCCAGGTCCAGAGGTCCCCTTAAGGCTGGATGGGTGCATGAACTGGATACAGAGCTCCCTCTGGTGGTGATGCAGAGTAGTGAGATGTCCTGGAAATCAATTAGCTCCAATGGGAGCCAAGAACGGTACCCATAGTGTAGTATGGTTAATAGACTTTATTCACAAAGATGCAGTATTAAAACAGGGTAGTATACACTCCTTGTAAATCAATAATTGATGAAGAGTAGTACTGATCCCTTAGTAAAGATGGCCGCCGGGCCTCCTCGTGGCTCCGGGCGGCTGTGACGTCACGCTCTGCTGGCTCCTCCTAAGGCCTTTCGTGCTAGGCACATCATCAGAGGGGAGGCCAACAAGAGCATGACAGACCTCCATTCCTTTTATAACCTAATGCGGCGATACCATTTTGTTGGAGTTGCGCACGTGCGACTCAGCGGGCGCCATCTTGCCGTGGATCAAGCTCAGTGAACGAATCCCTATTACAGGGAAAAAGCAAGCACTTCTCCCGTCACTGATCTGAAATCATATCAATCAGCAGTAATACAGGAGCGGCATCCTTAGCACCCCAATAATGTGATCCCAGAACATGTACATGCTCCACAGTAAATATCGATATGTTGAATCAAGATCACATAAAAAAAAATCTAAAAATGCAAATATTTAGAAAATGTATAAGTGCTTATAAGGAAAGAGGTAAATATCCGAGGCAAAAAGGCAAAAAAATGAGGGTGACATTACCGTTTACAGAAAAAGGTGATAATAAGAGCTAACCATGTCAGATAAGTTAATCCGTACCAGTATAGTAAACAGATATTAAACAGTATTTACAATAAAAGTATAATAAAAAGCATCACTGAAGTGAAATAAAATTTAAAAGGGACAAATATAAATAATGGTCAATATGACATAAAATGCACCCAAAAGAAGGTAAAATAGGTGAAGTTATGGTGTACATAATGGATATTGGTATGCAGGTGTGTTAAAAAAATATATATAAATAGACCAAAACCTACTCCTATACACAAAAGGTCATATTTAGTAGTGCATGGCCAGATGATGGTAATGAAAAGCTCTGTGTTAGCTATTAGCGGTAAAACAATTTACATCAATTTCAATATTGTGACCGGAAGGGTATAGAGTACCAAGCTCGTACACCCATCTGGTTTCTGCTTGAGAGACCGCACGGGTTTTGTTCAGACCCCTCCAATGAGGGGTGACTATTATTATTATACAGTATTTATAAAGCGCCGATAGTTCGCTCAGCGCTGTACATTACAGAGGGGAACAGAACATGTGACAGAACAATACCAATACAATGTGATACATGAGGGGATCGAGGGCCCTGCTCTTTCGAGCTTACAATCTAGGAGGGAGGGGTGGTGGCACAGGAGGAGATAGCTGTGGGGGATGGAGTGGTAGGAAGAGTGGAGGAGGTCGGCAAGTTAGCAGGGGGTGGGGTAGGCTTCCCTGAAGAGATGGGTTTTCAGGGTGCACCTAGAGGAGAGGAGAGTAGGTGATAATCTGATGGGTTGGGGCAGGGAGTTCCAGAGGATGGGTGACACCCTGGAGGCGGACATGGGAGGCGGGCATGGGAGGAGGAGACCAGGGAACTAGAGAGAAGGAGGTCTTGTGAGGAGCGGAGTGTGCGTGTTGGGTGGGGTACTTGGATATTAGGTCAGTGATGTAGTTCGGGGCAGTATGGTGGACGGCTTTGTACGTCAGTGTTAGGATTTTGAATTTGATCCGTTGCGCAATCGGAAGCCAGTGGAGGATTGGCAGAGAGGGGTGGAGGACACTGAGTGGAGGCCAGTGGAGGGATTGGCAGAGGGGGGTGGAGGACACTGAGTGGAGGCCAGTGGAGGGATTGGCAGAGTGGAGCGTTAGTGGCGGAGATGGAGCGGTTGGAAAGGTGAATGAGTCTGGCAGCCGTATTCAGGATGGACTGAAGCGGGGATAGCCAGCGGCGAGGCAGGCCAGTGAGGAGGGAGTTGCAGTAGTCGAGTCGTGATATGATGAGGGAGTGGATGAGCTGTTTAGTGGTTTCTGGGGTTAGGAACGTGTGGATTTTGGCGATGTTGCGGAGGTGGAGTCTGCATGTTGCGGAGGTGGAGTCTGCATGTTGCGGAGGCGGAGTCTGCACGAGTTTGTTAAAGATTGGACTTTGGGCTGGAAGGATAGGTTGGAGTCCAGAATGACACCAAGTACTCTGGCCTGCTGGGCGGGTTTTGATGGTGGCGTCATTGGACGTGATGGAGAGGTCAATGGGGGGGTGGGGTCCGGGCTGGGGGGGGAAGACAAGAAACTCGGTTTTGGAAGGGTTCAGTTTAAGGAAGTGGAGCGACATCCAATCTGATATGTCGCTCAGTAGGTGTATATATCGACTATATCGATGGCTGTAAATTTGAGGGAGGTGGGGTCCTTGTTGTGGTGGATTCTGTAATGGTTGGATAGAGAGTGCTCTCTGTATCCTTTTTTAATGTTTGTTATGTGCTCGTGTAAGCGATCCCGTAACCTCCTCGTGGTTCGCCCCACATACTGTTTATGGCAAGGGCATTGAAGTAAGTAAACCACGTATTTGCTGTAACAGGAGATGAAATCCTTAATGGTATATGTCTTCCCAGTCACGTATGATGTGAACGTATTAACCTTGCGTTTCCTGGTATTGTCACATTTACAGATCACACACTTATTACAGGGATTAAACCCTTTCAAGTGAGAAAACAGAGTGATTTGTGCAGGGGGATTTACTACATTAAGCGCAAGATTATGCCTCATGGATGTAGCCCTCCTGAACACAATTTCAGGTTGTTTGGGTAAGATGTTACATGCAACCGAATCAGTTAGTAGAATTAGAGATGAGCGAATCGAACTTGGCGAAGTGGAATTCGTTTAGAATATTAGGAAAATTTCGATTCGCGCCGAATCCGAAAATTAGCAGACTTCGGATGCGCGAATCGAAATTTTTCCAAAAATGGCGGCGACATGTGCGGCGACGGAGCGGGGATCTGTGGGAAGGCGCGCAGACAAGGCACGCTGACCCATAATGCATTCATTCATGACATGTGATCGCATTAGCCAATCAGCAGCCCAGAACCGTTACTTAGGGAAACAGAATTGTTACTCAGGGACAGACACAGAATTGTTTACTCAGGGACAGACACAGAATTGTTACTGAGGGACACAGAATTGTTACTGAGGGACACAGAATTGTTACTCAGGGACAGACACAGAATTGTTACTGAGGGACACAGAATTGTTACTGAGGGACACAGAATTGTTACTGAGGGACACAGAATTGTTACTCAGGGACAGGACACAGAATTGTTACTCAGGGACAGACACAGAATTGTTACTCAGGGACAGACACAGAATTGTTACTGAGGGACACAGAATTGTTACTGAGGGACACAGAATTGTTACTGAGGGACACAGAATTGTTACTGAGGGACACAGAATTGTTACTCAGGGACAGACACAGAATTGTTACTGAGGGACACAGAATTGTTACTGAGGGACACAGAATTGTTACTGAGGGACACAGAATTGTTACTCAGGGACAGACACAGAATTGTTACTCAGGGACAGACACAGAATTGTTACTGAGGGACACAGAATTGTTACTGAGGGACACAGAAATTGTTACTGAGGGACAGACACAGAATTGTTACTCAGGGACAGACACAGAATTGTTACTCAGGGACAGACACAGAATTGTTACTCAGGGACAGACACAGAATTGTTACTAAGGGACACAGAATTGTTACTGAGGGACACAGAATTGTTACTCAGGGACACAGAATTGTTACTCAGGGACACAGAATTGTTACTGAGGGACACAGAATTGTTACTCAGGGACACACAGAATTGTTACTCAGGGACAGACACAGAGGGACACAGAATTTACTCAGGGACAGACACAGAATTGTTACTAAGGGACACAGAATTGTTACTGAGGGACACAGAATTGTTACTCAGGGACACAGAATTGTTACTCAGGGACACAGAATTGTTACTGAGGGACACAGAATTGTTACTCAGGGACAGACACAGAATTGTTACTGAGGGACACAGAATTGTTACTGAGGGACACAGAATTGTTACTCAGGGACACAGAATTGTTACTCAGGGACAGACACAGAATTGTTACTCAGGGACAGACACAGAATTGTTACTGAGGGACACAGAATTGTTACTGAGGGACACAGAATTGTTACTGAGGGACACAGAATTGTTACTCAGGGACACAGAATTGTTACTGAGGGACACAGAATTGTTACTGAGGGACACAGAATTGTTACTCAGGGGGACACAGAATTGTTACTCAGGGACACAGAATTGTTACTCAGGGACAGACACAGAATTGTTACTGAGGGACACAGAATTGTTACTGAGGGACACAGAATTGTTACTCAGGGACACAGAATTGTTACTCAGGGACACAGAATTGTTACTCAGGGACACAGAATTGTTACTGGGGACACAGAATTGTTACTCAGGGACACAGAATTGTTACTCAGGGACACACAGAATTGTTACTGAGGGACACAGAATTGTTACTGAGGGACACACAGAATTGTTACTGAGGGACACTCAGACACAGAATTTGTTACTGAGGGACACAGAATTGTTACTGAGGGACACAGAATTGTTACTCAGGGACACACAGAATTGTTACTCAGGGACACAGAATTGTTACTCAGGGACAGAATTGTTACTGAGGGACACAGAATTGTTACTGAGGGACACAGAATTGTTACTCAGGGACACAGAATTGTTACTCAGGGACAGACACAGAATTGTTACTGAGGGACACTGAGGGACACAGAATTGTTACTGAGGGACACAGAATTGTTACTCAGGGACACAGAATTGTTACTCAGGGACAGACACAGAATTGTTACTGAGGGACACAGAATTGTTACTGAGGGACACAGAATTGTTACTCAGGGACACAGAATTGTTACTCAGGGACACAGAATTGTTACTGAGGGACACAGAATTGTTACTGAGGGACACAGAATTGTTACTCAGGGACACAGAATTGTTACTCAGGGACACAGAATTGTTACTCAGGGACACAGAATTGTTACTCAGGGACACAGAATTGTTACTCAGGGACACAGAATTGTTACTCAGGGACAGACACAGAATTGTTACTGAGGGACACAGAATTGTTACTGAGGGACACAGAATTGTTACTCAGGGACACAGAATTGTTACTCAGGGACACACAGAATTGTTACTCAGGGACACAGAATTGTTACTGAGGGACACAGAATTGTTACTCAGGGAATTTGTTACTCAGGGACACAGAATTGTTACTCAGGGACACACAGAATTGTTACTGAGGGACACAGAATTGTTACTGAGGGACACAGAATTGTTACTCAGGGACACAGAATTGTTTACTGAGGGACACAGAATTGTTACTGAGGGACACAGAATTGTTACTCAGGGACACACAGAATTGTTACTCAGGGACACAGAATTGTTACTCAGGGACACAGAATTGTTACTGAGGGACACACAGAATTGTTACTGAGGGACACAGAATTGTTACTGAGGGACACAGAATTGTTACTCAGGGACACAGAATTGTTACTCAGGGACACAGAATTGTTACTCAGGGACACAGAATTGTTACTCAGGGACAGACAGAATTGTTACTGAGGGACACAGAATTGTTACTCAGGGACACAGAATTGTTACTCAGGGGACACAGAATTGTTACTCAGGGACACAGAATTGTTACTGAGGGACACAGAATTGTTACTCAGGGACACAGAATTGTTACTGAGGGACACAGAATTGTTACTCAGGGACACAGAATTGTTACTGACACAGAATTGTTACTCAGGGACAGACACAGAATTGTTACTGAGGGACACAGAATTGTTACTGAGGGACACAGAATTGTTACTCAGGACACAGAATTGTTACTGAGGGACAGACACAGAATTGTTACTCAGGGACACAGAATTGTTACTGAGGGACACAGAATTGTTACTGAGGGACACAGAATTGTTACTCAGGGACACAGAATTGTTACTGAGGGACACAGAATTGTTACTCAGGGACACAGAATTGTTACTGAGGGACACACAGAATTGTTACTGAGGGACACAGAATTGTTACTCAGGGACACAGAATTGTTACAGGGAGGGACACAGAATTGTTACTGAGGGACACAGAATTGTTACTCAGGGACACAGAATTGTTACTCAGGGACACAGAATTGTTACTCAGGGACAGACACAGAATTGTTACTCAGGGACAGACACAGAATTGTTACTGAGGGACACAGAATTGTTACTGAGGGACACAGAATTGTTACTACTGAGGGACACAGAATTGTTACTGAGGGACACAGAATTGTTACTGAGGGACACAGAATTGTTACTCAGGGACACAGAATTGTTACTGAGGGGACACAGAATTGTTACTGAGGGACACAGAATTGTTACTCAGGGACACAGAATTGTTACTCAGGGACAGACAGAATTGTTACTGAGGGACACAGAAATTGTTACTGAATTGTTACTGAGGGACACAGAATTGTTACTCAGGGACACAGAATTGTTACTGAGGGACACAGAATTGTTACTGAGGGACACAGAATTGTTACTCAGGGACACAGAATTGTTACTCAGGGACACACAGAATTGTTACTGAGGGACACAGAATTGTTACTGAGGGACACAGAATTGTTACTCAGGGACACACGAATTGTTACTGAGGGACACAGAATTGTTACTGAGGGACACACAGAATTGTTACTCAGGGACACAGAATTGTTACTGAGGGACACAGAATTGTTACTGAGGGACACAGAATTGTTACTGAGGGACACAGAATTGTTACTCAGGGACACAGAATTGTTACTCAGGGACAGACACAGAATTGTTACTGAGGGACACAGAATTGTTACTAGGGACACAGAATTGTTACTGAGGGACACAGAATTGTTACTCAGGGACAGACACAGAATTGTTACTGAGGGACACAGAATTGTTACTGAGGGACACAGAATTGTTACTCAGGGACACAGAATTGTTACTCAGGGACACAGAATTGTTACTCAGGGACACAGAATTGTTACTCAGGGACAGGACACAGAATTGTTACTGAGGGACACAGAATTGTTACTCAGGGACACAATTTGTTACTCAGGGACAGACAGAGATTGTTACTCAGGGACACAGAATTGTTACTGAGGGACACACAGAATTGTTACTGAGGGACACAGAATTGTTACTCAGGGACACAGAATTGTTACTCAGGGACACAGAATTGTTACTCAGGGACACAGAATTGTTACTGAGGGACACAGAATTGTTACTGAGGGACACAGAATTGTTACTCAGGGACACAGAATTGTTA